AGTATTTTGGACTGAAATCGCTGTACAATTTCAACATTAGAGTTAGCCGCGATGCCTCACAACTGTAATCCATAGGTCTAGATCGGTTTTATGATGCATTTGTAGAGTAGAATTTTAGTTTCAATAGATAGTTGTGATTTTCTACCTAATAGTACATTTTTCTTAGCTGTTGTCCTAGATGCTTACGCTTGCTGACAATATGTTTCTTCCATTAAATGGAGTCTATCCAAATGCATTCTCAGGTATTTGGCTTCATTATTCTGTAGGATTTGGACATTATTATTATAATTGAAACAGGTGGAGACGATTTGTGTTTTAGTGTAAAGGTTACTTTACACTAAACCGATTTTGTCTCATTAACTTTAATTCTCCACTTTTTAAGCCATTTGTTTATATTGTTAAGACTGTTTTAGAGCATTTTGGAGGCAGTTGATGGATCCTTATGTGCTGCAAGGATTGCGATATCATCGGCAAAAATGCTAAATGTTATTCCCGTTTGGATTGGTCGATCGACTGTATGTAAGCAAGTACAATACTGGCCCTAACACACTACCAGTGGTACGCCAGCTTTGATTGGTTTTAAGTTTTTCAGTGCATTACCATATTTAACTAGGAAGTGCCTGTCGTTTAGTATTTGTCGTTTACGATTCCAAGAATGCAAAAAATTTAAGATCAAAGTCCATCCTTAGCTTAGATAACAGGCCCTCGTGCCAAACTTTATCGAAAGCCTGGGAAACATCTAGAAATACTGCAGTATTGCCCAGCTTCATAAGCGTTATGTATTTTTTCTACTATTCTATGCACTTGATAGAAATCTAAAGAGCAATTCTTGTTAAATCAAATAAACTGAATGTCCGTGTATTTTAGACCCATTAATTCTGATACGATTTTGACACAAATCTTTGTTATATATTTGAAATAGTAATCATTTCTGCAGACTCTAGTGCGAACATGGTGGATATTTGATACAACGAACGAGGGGAGAGATGTGAGTCCACTTAAGTAAATTATATGAGATGCTTCTATAAGCGCATTTTTGCTTTCTACTTCTTCGCTCAGCTGATTAAGGTACAATCATCAGTTAAAGGACATATATAGATAATAGTTATATATAGTATATGTAAACATAACGATTATCAAAATGTAACATATTCAAGAATATTGAAGATTGCGTGTAACGGAACGAAGCATACTTTCGATAATCGTTTTTTTGGATTCTCGATGTTGTTAATTATTTGTATTGTTTATTTTAACTAGCAGATTGACAAAGTATTATATATGTATGTATAAAAACGAATGTGTGACTATATGTATTGGATACACATCCTTTTATCTTTGCCAAATTTCTATCAAATATTATCATCTTATGCCGGCACTATCGATATGACTAAAAAAGCTATTAATCTTCCATTCCTTCAAAAACAATCTACCTTATTATACACATATGAGTCATCAAAATCTCCCTTCAAATTATCCAACCTATCGTAGAAAAGGGCAATGATAGCTAATTCCGAGGTTAAAATAATTCCGGTCGTTCCGGCGCCCGCTGGAAGAGTTCAATGACGTCGTCGAGAACTTGAGTACACAGTTCGTGAATACACGTGTATACACCGTGGTTAAAGCATAATGCGGAGAGGATAGTCGTGGGATAGATGTCTATCGTGGGGTGCAGGTCTAACACGACGCAATTGACGAAAGTTGCGGTCGTATATTCGCGCGGTCGTAAGTAATGGTACCGACTAATTGCCAAGGTAGCGGAGACTCTTCCCTTCATCAGGCGACAAGTGCCCGGGATTCAATGACGTCGCTCAGGCGGGGAGCGAGCTCGAGAGCACCCGGTATGCATGCACATCGCGGTGAATGCGGGGAGCGTGTGTGTTACGAGCCTCGAAAGCCCGACGCGTTTCATCGATATCGTTCGCATAGGCTTACCTAGGACGGGCATCGAATCGATCTTACGCCGTCAGCGGTATCGCCAAGTTAACCCGGACTGCGAACCACGAAGAGACGCGGGCACACGCGAATGGAATATCAATCGCGGAGATCAAATGCTTTTAAGGAACACTGTCGACTTCTTCTTCGATCGCTGCCGTGTATACGCAACGATCGTCGATCTGTTGCATCTTGCGGTGCATCGGTGAAAATCGATGGTACGCAAGACGTGCACAGTATTCTTTACCTTCTATCTTAAACGCACATACGATCGATATGAATATCTTATTATTTCTAGTTGCAAGACATGAGAGGAGAGATAGTTATATCTTTTATATAAAAGTAAAAAAAATTAGATATTAAATATTGGATAAAATTGATAAAATAAAAATAAAAATTAAATACAAAATTATGAGAGATTCCGAGAAAAAAATCGATACTAAATATCTTATTTTTATATTAATATTACGCTATGTAAATTTATTTCTTTTATTTTTAGATTATGAATGATCGAAGAATACATAAAAAACAATAAATGTCACACACACACAATACGTGGTTAAAAGGAAAAATACATAAATCATACTTATTTCGGAACGAGAAAATTATATCGTTTTGATAAATTTTGTGAATTTCTTTTTTTTCATGTTACAAGGCATAAGGTTTTCGTGATTTTCATGAAAAAAAAGGACTTAATTTAGTACAAGGCAATTGTATTGCAAAAGTTGTCGTGAAATTATGCGCATTTCTCGGAAATGCGATCGAATCAAAGTCAGGTACGAACAGTTCGTGAATTTACGGCGATGGGCGCGAGCAAGGGTTCGGCGCACGACCTAATATAAAATATGCAATATCCTCCTTCTGGACAGCCGTGCGCGCTGGCGAAGTCGGTGGAGCAATGTATACACCGACGGACGCTCTTTCTGTGATGCGGTATAAGTAAATTGCACCTGTGCGAAAGAAAGATCAGAGGCGTTCGGCACACGAACGTATCTCGTCACGTGACCGCCGCCGGGGGCAAACGTGTCCTCGTACTTGTTTCTCATTATTGTGCGCGACGTAGAGTATAATTTCGCTTTGGGTCAACTGACTGTTGGAAACGCGGGTAAACCGACCCAAGGGAATAAATACTCCTTCACACGACGGTATCTCTCTTATTTTATCGTTAATCTTTCGAAGTAGAATGCATTTTCGCTTTACTCTTAATTGACGAAAGTACAACTACGAACAATCTTAAAAAGTGATAGCTTATTTTTTTCTTATCTTGACGATCCACCTTTAAATATTCTGCTACAAATTGCATCCATTTACATGCACATAAACACACACACACACACATACATACTTATATGTATATACATATCTATGGGTTTCATAAATGTACCATTTTCGTGAATATCAGTTATTATAAAATTAATTTGTATTTTAACTTTTTTTATGAGAATGGTCAAGTATGAATCGATACATATTTTATGTTTTCTTAAACGATATCACGAGGAACAATTCTTTCTTGAAGCGCCCACTAAACGGCGTCAATTTAATGAAATCAACTGGGGTGTCGGAACAGAAGGAAAGAAATAACCAGCTAATTAGGAGATGTTTGGTCTTCGAGAGCCGAGACAAACTTAGGCGTGCGCTAGGGCGGATGTCTCGACAACGAAGGCGATGGAGTGGCGGAGTTTCGCGATGAACTCAAGAGAATCAGGAAGGTGGAACGGGGGAAGGAGGTGAAGGTGGCCGGCAAGCGACGGAGGGTGGGTTAAGAGGGGCGATGGCGCAAGGATGGAGACCACCGAGACGGAAGGAGGTGAGAGTGCGAGAGGAGGTGGGCCGAGTGAGGAGGACAGGGCGAGTGGAAAGGACGAGGTGTCCGCGGGGGCGGATGAAAGGACGCTTACCAGCTACTACCTATTGATCGCCAATTCTTTTTCTCTTGTTGCATATTAGGCGCACTCTTCCTTCTTTCTCCTTCTCTGTCTATCTCTTTTTCTCGCTCCCGCTTGCTTTCTCTCTCCCTTCGCCTGGTTCGTTCTCCCCCGTCGCGTCTCGCAGCCAACCTGCCCCCTCGCGGACGTAGAACGCGCGAATCCGCCCCTATAGCCACCCTTCCGCGTCCTCCCCTCCTCATCCTCCTTCTCCTCCTCCTCCTCCTCCTCCTCCTGCACCTCCTCTACGTCCTCTGTGCTCGTGTCGCCTCACC